ACGCGAGGGAATTTCGCGAGAGGCATCTACTCGGCCTTAATTTTTTTCCACTATATAAACAACTCCTTGTTTGCAGAGGCTTTTGCGATCGAGGCCCGATAGGGTTACGTTTGTTTGCACTGTTAAGTCAATTGAATCAGCATATTGAGTAGAATTCACGACACCAGTTTCAAATTAGTCGGACTTTTAAGTGAAACCGCAAAATCGTTAAGTTTTTCGTTTATTTTCATTTTCTTTACTTTGTTATTCTGGTGGCTGTTATCATATCTTTGAGCTTAATTGCGGTGAAATATTTATTTAAGGAAAAAAAACGTATAAAGCACTTTAGGTTCAAGTACCCTTGGTTGCTTGGAGTGATTTTTATAGGAGTTAAATATGTAGTTATTTTTGAAATATGCCGTATGATTTTTTTCTATTGTTTATGCTAATCGTAAAAATTGTCAAAATGTAAATAAGTTCCGTGTTTCGAATTTGTATTCTCCTCACATCGGGTCACTGAAAGGGTACAGAATTTCTACGGTAGCTAAATTTTGTTTTATTGTTGCGCATCTAACGTGACCTGTTTACGGATCCGTACAGGTCACAAAATCTGCCATTCATTTATAGTACCAATCAATCTGTTATCTAAGATCTAGTCACTACATGGTAGATTTCTAGCTTTTTATGCGTCTGCTGTCTGAGGTTAATAAACTTGAATTCTGATTGCTCATTCATCTTACATCATTGTGGTTTGCGTTATATTGAAATTTTTCTTTTACCTTTTCTTAAGACTGTCGCGTCATTAACTTAATAGGTACATTACATTTCGTATTTCTTAATTCGTTTATATCGTGCTTTGTATTAACCACGGAATTGTCAATTTTAATTCTCAACCTGTCACTTATGCTGCCTTCAGAGAGTCGATCGAGACTTAAAATTGTATTTTATTTTTTATTCCAAATTGACTTTTTTTATATTAATATACAATTTATAGTCGACATAAACTATGAAAGCTGATACATGTAGGAGTAAAAGCAAAGTTTTGCATGCACGATTCTTATATTATATTCAGTCGTCTAAGTTTAATGCCATTTCATAAAATACTGTTTTTTTCCTTCAACTGTAGCTCATATTTTATTTAAATTAACAGATCGTGTTAATGAATGCTTTAACACATAAGGTGCAATAAAACTTTTATGATATACGTTTATATACTTTGATTGAATTAATATATAAAATCATATGATTTATTGAAATAATGTGATTAAAGTGAATCTAGTTTCTCATTAGAAGGAAACGAGATTGTAAAAAGCAGCGATATATCAAACAGTTAACGACTGCATTCATGCTAGGGTTTATTCGATTTGCATTAAGGTCGGTGGCTATTGAATACAATATTATCGTTTTGTGATCTATTGTGCGGCGCTTTTTGTCTATTTTTGTTGAATAAAGCAATTGTGCATAGAGGAAATAGTCAATTGGCCCTATCTATACATTACCCACGAATGAGGCTGGGCAATGATGACCGTCGTCACGCCATTCTACATTCTGGTTTTTATATTTAAATTATTATCTGTTATTTTCTAACAGTTTATTTTCATATGTGTTGATCAATTTAAATGTTGTTACTTTTTTCTCTGAAACACTTGTTCAAATCTCGCGGAACATGTTAGTGCTAAGGAAATAATTATTTTTATGACTATATGACGTGACTTAAAATTATTATTTTATTGATTTGCTCCAAGCGTTAGGATGTTTGTGTTTTTTTGACTAATTTGTCCAATCAAAATAACATTAGTAAATAAAATTACTGAAGAGGTCAACATTTTATTGTTGTGATCCTTCTTAATCCGGCTTATAATGCTATACTTGAGTATATATAAATGATATTTTAATGCCTTTGTAGACTTCCTCGCGTTACGCTTAATATTCTAATATATCATCGGATTTTGTACTAACAAATCCCCTTGCCCAATTATAAGTTAAATTTCACGTATAATATAAGATAGCATCGCTTGAGCTGCAGACTATTTTTATAATAAGCGACATAACTTAAATTACTATCGTTCTAAGACACATCTCCGTATCTGTTATCCTCGTGAATCTCAGCTGACGGACTTGCTTGCGCATTTTTAAAACCAGTTGCAATTTCCTGCAGGCAATTTTCGGCTTACGTAATACAATAATATGCATTCGTTTTCGACCACATACCAAGGCCACTGTGTCGACGACCACTTGGGGGCGGGGCGCTTACTAAGTCAATATCTCCTTAAGTGGCAGTTGTGAATTAATCATCATGCATACAATGCACTTTCAATCTTATTTCATTAGAACCGTTAACGTTTCATTCATATCCTATGAGCGAAATTTTACATTCACGTCTATTATGAAAATGATAAAATAACATTCAGGACAATAACGGTTTAGGATGTGATATCTTGTAGTATAACATGTAAACCCCTTCTTTTATCAACAATATTTATTGTGAGTGCGCTTTACGCTCATGTTTATGTGCAAGAGTCTTATGTTCTTACTTGAGGTGGGTGTCACAGGCCATATACATTTGCCTCGCAGTAATATGTATCTAAAGACGCCAGGACGTACCCTTTTTGTATAGAATGCTTTGCTACCCGCAGACTTATACGCCGACCAATATTTACACCCACGCTGTTAAATTCTATTCAACTCGAAAATATTATTCATTTAAAATATCATACATGGTAATAGCATCCTACGTTGAGTCCCACGAAATTTGTGATGCTTTATGAACCATCTAGATTGTTGAAAAGGAACAATAAAGCGAGTTCACGGTCGTGATTATTGCCATGAGTTTACGCGAAATGTGCAGTTTTTGCAGTAAATTACACAGAATTTTATGATCGCCGTTAGTGCTATATCTCACATTAAATTTTAATGTCCTGGTACTATATTTTAGTTTCTTTGCCCGCCTAATAAAGGGTTAAGTGCTAACTATATAATGAGATATCGCGAAGGAATCCAAGTTCTTATAATAAGTCATATTTTATAGCAAAATCGTTATTTCATACAAACATAAAATCAATAACATAGAAAATCTATATTAGCTGTGATGATTAATTGGAAGCTACAAGTAAAAAAAAATCGCTGACAAATCGAGACGTCATCGAATGTGCGGAGTTAATTTTACGTTTGTTTTTTCAGATATTTTTTTACCGCGTTACTTACAAAAGGCTTCGGGTAGGCGAACCTTTCAAGGACTCGCGTTACGCTTCAGGAGGCTACTAGCCAATTCCACAATTGTGTTTCAAATATTTCTATTATCTTAATTTATTATATATGTATGTATTTATGTAAATGTGAATGTGTTTTTTTATCAGTTATTTAAATAATTATTCTTAGCAACCTCATAGGGTCAATAATTATGAATGAGATATTAGCATCAAAGATATTTGTTTTGGAAGATGAAAATATTTGTCTCCTATTGGTATTTTCACTAAGTATGTATTTAGTGGCTTAAAAATGTTGTACCTAAATCCTACTGTCAAATAGTTTATTTTATAAAAAACAAATGATTGAATTTTTTAATAAAAATAGTTCGTAAATAGAATATTTTTGATGGATTAACATGTCGTGTTGCCTGTTGAAAATGCGATGATTACTTGTATGAACAGTAGATTATTTTCTATAATAGCTGTTACTTAAACGTGCCTCGCCACTAATAGCAACACTTAAGTTAAAATTTTCGTAACACTAATGAAGTTTGTAGTGGTTTAATGTTTTTTGTGCCTCTCATGCGCTGCCACTAGCGCAGCGTTGGAATTAGTTTATTCAATTTGTCAGTAGTTTTTGCTCCATCACTGTTTTCTGTTTTGCAACCTGAACATTTGTCTTTTTTATTATCCAAACGTCTAATGAGTGCATCACCATTTGTTACTTCAACACCGTTTCTAACGCCTCTTATGGACATGCTTCCTCTTAAATCTTTTTTGTTACAGCAATCACGATTTTTTGACCAATCTCCAATTGTTTGCTAGTAGCTGTGAACTTACTTTAGACAAATCTTAGTCTATTATTCTGGTCGTCGTATCTTGATGAGTTTTTCTACGTCTATAATGAGATACCTGTAACCATCTCGATTTTTTTTCTGCACCGTAATAAACTTCATTTTTATTATTTTTTGCATATACATATATTGTATAAAAGATGGCGAGAGATTTGTTAAGTAGTTAAAGATTTCGATTAAATTTAATTTATTTCCTTGTCCACTTATTTTATTAGCTTTCAAGTTGTCGAATGTTGATTGAATAACAAACAAGCTATTCCACATCAGCTTCATATGCAGTTTCGATAAATCTCGTCTCTTGAACTTTATGTTAAGTTTATGTATCCGTATATACTAATAAAATACTTACTAATGTCGTGAGCGTGACCGTTTATTGGTTCGTACTTCTTTTAAATTATCTCGATTTATGTATGAACACATTGTAGAAATTTTGCAAAATATTTACTTTTTGTTGTAAATACATTATTAGTACTTTAGTACTAAATTGAAAGCAAATCGCTAATATAAGCTATTATTACAAAAAATCCTACTCCAAAAGAATAAGATTCAACATTTGCTATCATTCAACTTTGAAATATTGAATCAGGTGCTCATTTTGATATATTTATTAGAATTATTTTTTACAATACATTTACTTATTTTGGTGCATTTTATGGATACGAAACAAAGTTGATGGGATGTAAAGTGTGTATCTGTATGCACATATTTTTATGGTCTTAAATTCTCGAGGCTATTAAGTGTTATTTTTATGCGAAATCTCACTCTTTTAGGTATATGTATGTAATTTTTTGTATCTTACATAGCCTTAGGTTATTTACCTACAAAACAGCAGGTAGATAATTCGATTTTCGCTTGGCGTAATTTATAATTTTAATGAAGTTACTACACACGTCTGACTCATTTTAGGTAAAAAAACGAAGAACCTAATATATCTCTAATCTATTTATTCATTTTTAAAAGCATGTATGTTTTGTTACAGGAAAATATAGACCCGTCACCGTACAGCCTTTCACCAGTATCAGCGAAATCACAGAAATTGTTGCGGTCTCCACGTAAAGCTACTAGGAAAATCTCTAGGATTCCGTTCAAGGTAATACCACTGAGGCACCTAGTAGTTATTTTTGTTAATCGACTTAAAAAGAAGGAATTGTTCTGTTTGATGCATTTCTTATTACTTAAGCTGAAAATAGAAGAAGTAATACAAATAAAACTAATTGTTAATACTTTTTAATTAAAAATTACAAAAAAATTAAAAGGACGATTTTTTTTTTAATTTTCTATTGATTTCGGTCAAAAATCGTAGGATTAGCGCTTGCTTGGACAATCAAGTAGTGTGTTTAAACCCGTTCATTCAGGTCCCCCATTCAATGTGGGAAGGTTCCGTGCCCAGTAGTGGGAAGTTAAAAGACTGAATTCATTATTATTATATTCTTTTTACTTTAAATCAAGTGAATTAGAATCATTAATTAAAAATATACGTAATTTAGCTATAAGATACATTGTCTCTTCTAGGTGCTTGATGCGCCGGAATTACAAGACGATTTCTACCTTAATCTGGTGGACTGGTCCGCCCAAAATGTTCTCAGCGTTGGATTGGGAAGCTGTGTGTATCTGTGGAGTGCCTGCACAAGTCAAGTGAGTTATCATTCAGTTATTCATACATTCCTTCATTCATTAGACTGCCTCGGTGGTGTAGTGGCTAGCATGTACGGCTGCACACCCGGAGGTCCTGGGTTCGAGTCCCGGGTCGGGCCAAGTTTAGTTATTGAAACTTTCTGTATAGTAAGTCTCAGTAACAGCCCGGAGTTGGGAAGTTGGCGGTGTCTCACCCCCGTGCCTCGGAGAGCACGTAAAGCCGTCGGTCCTGCGCCTTAACTCTCACCGGTCGTGTCGAGTGATCGTCCCACCGGAGTATGAGAGTGATAGGAATAGAGAGTGCACTTGTGTCTGCGCGTACACTTGTGCACTATAATATCTCCTGCGCAGTTGGCTAATCTCAATGAGATTGGCCGCCGTAGCCGGAATCGGCTAGGAGAACATCATCATCATTCATTAAATTCAAATAATTTCATTCGTGTTTTCATTTATAAGTTTTTTTTTTCATCTAATATGTAGGTTTTCAAAAGCTTAAAATTTTATTGAATGCAGTCTGTGACAAATGTCAAAAAAAAATGGCGTCAAACAAAGTTTGATCGGACTAGATGATATTATGAATTTGATCTCGTAGTGGAATGACCTACGTTATAATTTCTTAGTGCCATAATTTTTTCTTTAGTTGTAATATATAAAACTGGTTAGAATATTCCCAAAGGCCTGAGAGTTGTAAGTCTTTATTGCATTTTATTTGAGCACGTTTTAAAATGTCACTCGCGCCACATTCTGCAATGTTTTATTTCACGTCTCTAAAATCTCAAAATCAAATTTCCCCCCTATATTTATTTGAACATTAACACTAACCAAAAATAACTGGCGTCATAAAATATATTAAATTACTATTTATCGATCTCGATATCTGCATAGTATCCGCTATAATCCATTCGGACGAAGGAACGGAAATCAAACAAAAAATGTCCATATAATATTTATTATATAGAATGTTTTTATGCAAAACAACAGACCTAATGCAAATGTTATACCTATAATAATATAATAATGTGCAAAGCAAAAAGTCAATGGCCCATGAGGGGATCGAACCCGCGACCTTCGCGTTATTAGCACGACGCTCTAACCAACTGAGCTAATGGGCCGATGGCGATGTAGACGAAATTTCTTAACTATTATCTTTATTTTATACATATTTTAAAATTGTAATGGGGTCAATGTTGTATGCGAAAACTTATGTTTGAGACTTGATAGAACCTAAATCTAGATTTTTGTCTATTTTATCGCGCTTCACTACGACTGGAAATTTCTAATAGGATTTTTTTATTGAAAACTACTATGTATTCTAAATTACTATCGAATCTAAAATCCTATTTGGTCTGTCTATTCTTGACGTTTCTATATAAAGCTGGGGTCATGCTAAGTGGTCATTGGTCATTCAGAAGAAGAACACATGCGGTCGAAACAGCAGGCACTTGCTGGTGTGACATAAAACTGACGTGATATTATAAAATTGATAAACCAGTTTGTAAACTCGCCATAAAATTCGTCTAGTTCAGTGCAACGCATTCAGATGGATTACGTGAAGCGCAAACGTGATAGAAATAAATACGCGGATAGCAGCGTGGTTTATATTTATGTAGTAAAATGAGATCACTGAATGTAGATTAGTAAGTAATAGTAAGTTAGAGAGGATTTTTTTTTGATAAATCTATACTATGTAATATTATTATTACATATAGAGAGAAAAAAATGCATTTTTGTTTATATTGAATAACTAAAATCCACTAAACCGATTTAGATGAAATTTGGTATGAATATAGTTTGAAACCCTGGATAGGACATAGGAGAGTCTTTATCCCGCAAATCATCCCTTAAGAGGGTCAAAAGCGGGACGAAAGATTGTATGGGAAATCAATCATTTTTCAAGTAAGGGATATGCAACTTATCATACCTATGTATATGTAGTCTGTCTATTCCATACTAACCGTTAAAACGTACCTAAGGACGAACCCGAGCGAAGCGGGGGTGCGTCGCTAATAAATTATAAATTGATATATATAATATAATATTTTTTAAATATATTGAACTAATGTCTTACCTCCGCTTCTCTTGGATCCCAAGGTGCCTAACAGTAGTCTGTTATCTAGGTCTAATCTGTCTGTGTGCTAAATTTTATCCGAGTCCGTACAATTGTTTCAGCGTGAAAGAGTAACAAACATACACACATACAAATTGTCACTTTTATAATAGTAGTCCGTTAAATAACTAAATAAAAATTACAACTGTATTTTTAATTTTTTCAAGGCGAGACATTGTTAATTAAAATACACGGTAGAGATATACATAAGTGTTTTCTTTAAAATTTTATCGTATTATTTCTAAAATTTTATTTACATACTGAGATCTGTGCGAGCTGTTAGTAATAAAATAAATAAAAGATTCAATATTTGTCGTTGGGAACCCAAAAAACCAGATAAATTTAGCCGCTGCATTACTAGTGCAGGTTCTACTTCAATTATGTAGACGTTTTTTTGTTAACATTTAAACCAGTATTAGAAGTTTGGAATTGCGATGTGAATGCTACGTTAATTTTATAATTACGCAGCAATAAATGTCCAATTTGATCTTTATGAATACTTTGAATATACGGATCCATCGTATCGTATCCATCCATCCCGGATGTAAAAGGTAAAATTAAAAATAGAAGCTTCACTCACGTGGCCGGCATTTTCAGTCTTGCCATAGTCACAACGCTGCGTACATTGTTGAAAAAATATTGACATTACGTGCGAAGATATAAATTTATTCAATATTTGTCTTTAATAAATCATAATTTTCGTCCGTAGGTTCATAAATTTACATGTAATATTTAAAAAAAGAATAAAACTGTAGACAAAATATTCGAATCTATTTATAAATTATATTTTTTTATTGGTTTAAAAAATAATATAGGTATATGTGGTGAAAATACTATTGAAACTGTAAGATTAAAGCATTATATTGATATTATATTTTGTTGAATTTCCGGGTTTCCTCGAAATTGTTCAAGAATTACGTAGCGAATTGTATCTCTAAAAGTCAAAGGTCTACGCCCGCTTATTAAATAGTTACATCTATGAATATTAACATTTTCATATTAATAATATTAATTGCAATAATATACTTAATAATAATAAAATAATACTTTGATCGTTTTAAAGGTAAAGGGCAATTAGAATTTATTCAGGCCCTACACAGTAGCCGAGATGATTTTGTAGGCGTGACGTGTTTGCGGGGGTAGACGGGTTCCACACCGGCAAAGTACATAGGCCGATGACCTGGATATAATAATAATTCATACTAGCCCTGATAACACGACTCATAACTATGCACCTACAGTCTCGATATAAGATATTTTAGATTAATTGGTCAGATATAAAATGTCTAATATAATCAAACATTTGAGAAAAGACGTGTTTTAATCAAACTAATGTCGATGAAATTTTGATTTTACGCGTCAATCAACTATTTTTATGTTGGTGTGTCGAAGTGCAAAAACTTTGAATCTATATAAATTATTACTTGGCATCGCATCGCGTCGCATCTAGTTTTTGCGAAATTAATGAAACTTACATTTCTTTGGAGCGCAAATTATGTGGTGTAATTGTCAAATGTTACGGAAGCAAAAAATAATAATAATTGTAAAATATATATTTTGTACACGGTAGTAGAGTATAATGCCAATTTATTTATTTTAAATTATACTGATTGTAACAGATAATGACTAAGCAAGACAGAGATAATAATCAAACGTTTTAAATTGACCACAGATACGCAAATTACGGGGTCAATGTTTGTCAAACGATAAAAAGTAATTTTTTGTAAAGAAAATATTATTATTAATCTGTAAATCCGATTATTTTTGATCAAATATCCTTTGAAATCCTTTTTCACAGACTTTTAAATCGGTTAAAAAGTCCAAAAGTTTTTAAGGAATTATTTTAGTAACAAGAATTTTGTATTTACTGTATAATGAATAAAATATTAGATATTCCAAAACTTGCTTACATCATTTGAATAATTAAATATTAAAAAAATTCTTACCTGGAACAGATTTAAACAGGCCATGATTGCATTTGGTAAAATATAAGTTAACTTATTTTAAATGATGTGAGTATCTGTTTGTTTGTATGAAATTTTGTTATTTGCGTTTTTATTTAAAGATTATAGTTGTTGGTTTAAATAGTGTATTTTCTTTTTTGTTTACAAAGCATTCGAATTGGCGAGATCTATTTTTGAACGAAGCGATGGATAGTTTAATTAAAAATGTCGGTCTCGGTCCGGTAATGATGAAAATATTTTAATGAAACGACATCCTCTAACCTGGGGGCTTAGACAATGGAAATTTAAAAAATTGTATTGAAATGATAAATTTAATCGATAGGTCATAGAATTATAAAATGTCAATATTATATATAGGTATTTGTATTTTTAGATTTCTATACCTTAATAATTGTTATTCCCTTAACGACCGCGGACACGCCGGCGTTACAGTTAGTTAACAATAGATTTCTTAGAAATTTATCTGGAGGTGTTAATTGAAATCTTGCCTAATTAATATAGCCTGAAGCTTCACTCTAAAATTTTTAATAATTTAAACTTACGTCATTACTTAACCTAGACATCGAATCTGGGCATATAGGGCAAAAGTGTTGATTTCTCTGACTTTGCATTATCAATGTTGTTTTTTTGTAGAGATACTTTTTGGGCCGGAGAATAACAGGATTAAGATATTAAGCCCCGGTATATACCTTGATATATGACGGAATGCAAATAACATAAAATATATAATGAGTAAGCGTGGTAGCCCAGTGGTAATGCGCTCGCTTGGAAATCCGAGTGAAACGGGTTCAAATCCCGAATCTCGCACCTCTGATATTTTCATGCGCGAATCATTTTCAACATGATTACCACTTGACTTACGGTGAAGGAAAACATAGTAAGGAAACTTGATGTCAGAGAGAACCTAGCAAGTTTTCATAAGACATGTGAAATCCGCCAACCCGCACTAGTCTAGCCTGGTGGACTATGGTCTGATCCCCCTCGTATTGAATGGAGGCCCGTGCCCAGCAGTGGGACGTTTAAAATGGCTTAATAAATATACTGAGTAAATTATGTAAATAGTTATTTATAGACAATTAGTATATGATTAAAATATCTATTTACTTTTAATTTTCTCTTTCAGGTGACACGGCTATGCGATTTGTCATCGGAAGGCAACGCAGTAACTTCCGTGGCGTGGAGCGAACGGGGCCACTTAGTAGCTGTTGGTACACAGAAGGGTCATATCAGCGTTTGGGATGTGGCTGTTAATAAAGAGGTTAGATTTGTGTTGCTTATATTATAAATTGTTTTATTTTGTATGAAAAAAAATATTTTCTCTATAATTTTTTAAAGAAGTTTCTTGGTCACTTACATAAAGTAATCTTATTATGTTTGCAGTTTAGATAAAAAATTAAATGTTTTTTTTCTAAAGGTTTATTCTTTTAAGATTTTTTTTATTACAAATATAGGATTCACCATATCGTCGCCATAGTGCTTATTTGTTCAAACTATAAGTGCTTGTTGGGACTACAGTAGAGTATTTTTTTCTCTATTTTAAAAATAAAGGTTTATTTCTAAGATTTATATACCTACCAATATAGATAAAATACATCTCATCGACTTATTTTAAAGTAAAATGTTTATTTTTAATGTACCAATATAATTGCCTTTAAAAGTTAGTAATTCTGTATAAAAAACTCTTTGGTTGAATTGGTCGTTTGGACAAATAAGCACTCAAGAGACGATATAATATGTACATTTTGCTATAATTATCTATCTATCTATACTTATTATAAAAATAAGTCCCCCGGCCGCGTCTTTCTGTCCTCCTGTCTGTCCTCCTGTCTGTCTGTACGCGATAAACTCGAAAACTACTGAACGGATTTTTATACGGTTTTCAACAATAGAAAGAGTAATTCTTGAGGAAGGTTTAGGTATATAATTTATTATGCTTTTATGTAAATTAGCTGAAATACGGCGACAAATGTTGAAGAGGTCGCAAAAAATCTCGCCAAATGGGAACTTTCCACGCGAACGCCGCGTAAACTAGCAAAGATACAGTTAAGTAATGTACTAGAGAATTCAAAATCTATAAAAATGCTACAAAAAAGTCCGCGATAGCATATCTCTATCTCTTACGGTTGACTTACAATAACCACTTTTATGTTAACATTTTTAATTAAAAACATTACGTTATTTTCAAAGTTATTTTCTTTAGTTCGGTATTAATCCTTATCCAAATGAATATTTTAGTTAGCTTAGTCATTTAATGCAGATTAAAATTGCTCTTTACACTAAATCAATCAGATGAATAGTTTTTGAGATATCGTTGTTAGAAGTAATTAGTAGCGAAACATTTTTAATGCTTGGCGAGCATTGAGATGCCTACGGCGAGTCCATCCCCTCTGCCCCGCATCGCTCGACCGCCTGCTCAAGCTATATAAACCGGGCGATGTAGCGCGCGATCCTAGGATACTTTTTACCGCGGGAAAATATCTTATTTCTGAGGAAAAATACAAAAACTACAATGTAAGAGTATACTAATATGTAACACCTAAGAATTTAGTTTTTGGTCATCTGAACGCGGGCGGAGCCGCGGGCAATGCTAGTATTAGATAAAATATTAAATAGTATATATTGTAAATGATTTTTATTTGTTCCACAGGTAACAAAACTGCAAGGGCACATAGCTCGTGTGGGCGCGTTAGCGTGGAATGGCGACATCCTGAGTTCTGGCTCCAGAGACCGACATATTAGACAAAGGGATACAAGGACACCACGTAAGTATTTATTTATAGTCCCTATGTTCTTAAAAGTTATGCCTAACCTATGTATAATTCTAGGTCATAATCTATTTGTGTGCTAAGTTTCATCTAAATCCTGAACGGATTTAGATGAAACTTGGCCATTTATATTAGTAGTCCGATTATATTATTATCAGAACAGTGTCCTATTTAAAATTGCAAGGCTGGTGGTAGGTTCGATTTTGTATGTGACTTAAACTATAATGTTAATAACAATTGTATATTATTAATTTTTATTATTTTTATTGTATGTATATCCTAAATTTCTTATATATTCGGTGCATTTAATTTCTTTTAGGAGACCTGATGTAAAAATTACTTATCGAGGATCGAAATAGTGACTTCCTTTAGATTAAACATAGGATTCTATTTTCTAATAATGTAAATAATATTTTTAATGTAATTCGATATAAATTTCAGCGGTACAATCGTCTCGCATTCTGCAAGGTCATAGACAAGAGGTGTGCGGTTTGAAGTGGTCGCCCGACGGACAGTCGCTGGCGTCCGGCGGAAATGATAATAAACTCTTCGTATGGTCTATGGTAAGTTATGTTTTTATAACACCTTCAAATTTTTTTTTTATTATTATTTTTTATATCTGTTGTAAAATTTAGATGTCTTATTTTGTGTATGTGTCATTTGTCCATTATTTTAAACGATTTTCTTGATTTTCTTATAGACTATAATTTCAATTTCAAGAACAAAATCGATCCCTACTTTTAAACTTGACCAGAAGCTGGCAATTTGATATTGATTTATTTTCTCATTAAAAAAGGTTTTTTTTTCTATATGTATATAAAGAAACGGCCTGCTTCATCATACTTATATACATGTATATTAGTAAGGTATACTTCATTTATTTCTCTTAAATTATATTACAACATCTTCTTATTAGTCATGATACTACATCCTTAAGGGAAGTCAGACATTTATATTTTATACTAGCATTGCCCGCGGCTCGGCCCGCGTTCAGATGACCAAAAACCAAATTCTTAGGTTTTACATATACTCTTACATTGCAGTTTTTGGATGTTTTCTCAGAAATGAGATATTTTCTCGCTGTAAAAAGTATCCTATATGTTGACCCGGATAACCAGCTATCACCATACCAAATTTTATAAAAATCCCTCCAGTGGTTTTTCAGTGACGCGGTAACAGAATGATAGACAGACAAAAATTTATAAACTATAGATTCGGCCTCTGTATCGATAATAATATCTATTTCAATAAGATTTTCCAAAAAATATTTAGTGTACAGATTCGGCTTAGTTACAATTTTATTATATGTATAGATGTAATATGTAAATTTGAGGATGATTCGAGGAAAATGATTGATTTTCCTTTACATATATATAGTTTTTGTATACCCTCAATTAAAACAAATTATTAGTTATTTATACGAATAAATAATTACGTATTTGGCATTTCCGATTTTTTTGGGTTTTGTTCGTAGTTTGCATGTTAATTGTTGATTTTTTTAATTTAGTACTTTTGTTTTATTTGCAGTTTTTCCAATAAGTAACGCTTTTTTGATTGGAAATAATAACAGAAGGATATATTTATATATATTTGTTCTTAAATACTGTTAAATAACAATTATATTTTTATGGAATTCCAATCGAAGAAACTAAATTGAATTTTAGTGAAATAGTAAGTGAATAAGTAAAGCTATAATAGGATGAAGGTCAAATAATAGCTGTTGTAGTCGCAGGTAATAGCTAGTTCATATCGTAGTAGAAGTTTTGTAAAGTAACTAATGGTTTTATAAAACAGCTGATTTAACAATTCTACTACGACATAATATTATATAATGCAAAACAAAAATACTGGATGTTTACGTTGCGTTGTTAAGTATCCCATTGCTTTTTAGGGTTCCGTACTACAAAAGGAAAAAATAACCCTTCCCTGTTGAAAAAGTCCAATAGGATCCCATCAAAAACGACAAAAGCCACATAAAAACCAATAAATATTTATTGGTATCTATGTGGCTTTTGTCGCTTTTGATGGGATCCTATTGGAGCTTTTAAATAGGGTTATAGGATCACGAGTTTAGCACGAGTAAAAGAAAAAATCCGAAAACCGTAAATTTGTAGTTACGTCACAAAAAAACATATTTTTTTGCGATTACATACTTATTTTAATGTTTCACGCAATGGAACCCTTGGTGTGCGAGTGCGAGACTCGTACTTGTTCCATTTTTTTTGAAGTGAAATAACTTGAAGCGTCATTTTGTGGTGTGAACGATAACATTTTGTGGTCATAACGCTTTATCGTAATTAGGTATGAACAAATGAAACCTCATGTTTCCGTGTGACTTATGACTTTGTTTTATAATATTAACTCTTTTGATAGCAATTATGATAATATATATTATGTGTCACGTTATTTGGGTTCCCGTTTGAAACAAAAGCGTCTGTTAAAATGTTTTGTGTTAAGGAAATGAGAATGCTTTACAGTAATCATGGTCACGGGAGAGACTGAAATAGTTGTTACAAACACCACCTACCTACAAAATTACAAAACGATTTTAAAAAATATAGAAAATTATAGTTTAATTTAAAATGTTAATTATTCGCGTAACTCTTAAGAACTTATTCAAAATTATAAAAATGTTTAAAATTAAAATTAACAAATATTGTAAGGTAGTTTGATACCATTTTTGAATTTTTTGAACTTATTTTTGTTAATTTGTGCGTAGGCTGTCTGTAAAAACTATATAATACTTTTGAGATATTTTAAACCTTACTCTCTCCTGTGACCATGATTGCTTTAAAGCATTCGAAACGTCGGGAACCAAAAATTAATATAAATTCCGCGAAAAAACTCGATAGTAATAGTTTTATTTAAAATGTAAATTATTCGCGTAAATCTAACAAAGTATAACGTTTAGTTTCTTCATTTCTTTCAGCACTCAACATCCCCCGTGCAGACGTACTCTGCGCACGTGGCGGCGGTGAAGGCGATCGCGTGGTCGCCGCACCAGCACGGGCTGCTCGCGTCGGGCGGCGGCACCGCCGACAGGTGCATACGGTTCTGGAACACGCTCACATCTCAACCTATGCAGTGTGTCGATACTGGTGAGATCATTGTTTATTTATTTACTAGTTGTATAGGGAATTAACCTGGGAACGAATCCGAGCAAAGCGAAGTGAGTAGCTAGTATACTTAATATATTGGTTCTATCTATTGATTTTTAACAATAAATCTTATTTATTGCAGGCTCACAAGTATGCAACTTGGCCTGGTCGAAGCACTCCAGCGAGTTGGTCTCTACGCATGGATACTCGCAGAATCAGATATTGGTGTGGAAATATCCTTCCCTTACTCAGGTATTTTTTTTGTTTATAACTAGTTGCCTCCCTCGGTTTGAAATAACACATAGGCAAAATTTTATCACGGAAAAATATATTGTTCCATTTAAAATTAAATAAGGACACAAATCATATTCATTTATATGCAATTTGTTTTTATTTTTCAGGTTGCGAAGTTAACAGGACACTCGTACAGAGTACTCTACCTGGCTCTGTCACCGGACGGTGAGGCCATAGTAACCGGCGCCGGTGATGAAACACTCAGATTTTGGAACGTTTTCTCCAAAACACCTTCACATAAAGAAAATAAAAGTGTACTAAACCTATACACGGCGTTGAGATAAAGTGACAGTGACATTTAATTTTTTTGCACTGGCAATAATCAATTCGAACTTTATAATCTGTTGCCGTGCATTGACTTTTTGAAATTTGAGCCAGATTTGCAAAAGTGCGTCGAATGCATCAATTTAACGACAAATTGACGTTTGACAGTGACGCTTTGGCGGTTTATGTTGGCAACATTTGTTTCGAACGTTTTCCGATTTGGGAAATGTTTTTGCCAACGTTGTGGAACATAGTTTAGAAAAAATTTACACGATTTTGTGGATTTGTTTTCTTAATTACACTATTGTGTGTTGGAGCTTAATATTTTTTTGTATATTGTATATATCGCAGATAATTATTTTTGGGATCCTTGAGATCGCGTTTTATTGATATATAAAAGGTGTGTACAAAGTTATCTGTTCAGATATAAGTCATATTATTTGACAACTTTACAATACAACTGTCAAAAATGTAAATTTTTGAAAACATATGTAATTTTGAGCAATATTTTTTTCAACATTTACTTTCTTTGAAATCTTTAAAATTGGAAAAATATAGTCCGATTTTATTTTAGGAATGGTATAATCTTATGATTTAAATCATATCTTTTTGATAACTTTGTACATTGGTTTGTTTATATAATATATGTATGTACGTCATAATGTATATTCCTTTCTTAGTCATTTATACAAGGAGATTACTTACGTTTATATGTCGAATGAGTTGGACGTTAGTACAAAAAATATAATTATTTGTTTTTAATGCAGTATTTATGTCGATTTACGCAAGATGCTAGCGAATAGATTTTCATTAGACCATTAAATGAAATTTCTTCAAAGAATATTATACCACCGATAACATGATATGTAAAATAAAAAATATATATATTTTATTTTTATTTAATACTAGCGACTTGCCGTGGGTACGTTTTTTTTAGTGAAACCCTAATTCTAAAATAAAAATAGCCTAAGTTACTTCTTATAATATTAGCCAGTGAAAGTCAATTTTAAATTGGTCCAGCCGTTTCGGAGATTAGCCAAAACAAACAGACAGACAGACCAGACATAAATGTTAAAAAAATGTTTTTCTTATAAGTACCGTGTATAATTACATGTGCGTTTAGTAAAAAGTTGTTATTTTGATATTACAAAACGTACACTTCGATTTTATTTATCTGTATAGATGATACATTACTACATATAAATTGTACTAGAATATTTTGAAAACAGATAAATTATTTCTTAGTTTTGTACTAATATCGTAAAGACATATAAATGTGAATATGATTATAGTTATAAAGATTGTTTATATGTACTGTTAGATGGTGCTGCGCTTTTTATATTTAATTTTTTTAAGTTTAATATAATTGCCAAGTGAGTTTCAAAGCTTATATGATTTTTTTGATTTAATAAATGAAGGAAAAATTCATATGACCTGATCTTTTAAACAAGTCTAGTGTTCATTTAATTTAATTCATGTTTTTTTATTTACATTCAACCAAATGTTTTTCATGTAATCAGGATCCGACCTATGACCTGAGACAGAAGTTCTAATGATTATAACTTATAATAATAGAAATATCCTATACTTAGCCATTATCTTTTAATTTGAATAATTTAGAAGCAATTAAAAAAGTGCAGCACCATCTCATTTATATGTATAGTTGTGTACTTACTAATGTAAATATTTATATGACAATGTACTCTACTTATGAATTTTTAAACCGACTAATTCTAAATACTACTTTAGTTCTTTTGATGAATTCCCTTTACATAATTTTTCGAAAACTTGTGAGTTCATATTGAATGTATCGTTTTTGAATATTCCTTTGTTTTTGATGTTTATATCATATAGATTCTACTTGTTTGTGAACTAAAAGCATTTTTTTTTATTATTTTGTAACTGTTAATATTACAAATTCATTTATTGTATTATAACTTCATAGATATCTGTATATATTCATAGCGACGTCATATATTGGCTGATAATATCTATATCGTATTTCATATGTTTAAAAACTATTATAAATGACTTGAAATAATAAAATATAAATAAAAGTATGTGTAAATTGTAATAGTTTTTAAACATAACATCGGCTAAAAAGTTTATATAATAAGTTTTTTTTTGCCAATTTAAATTTATTTAGTAATATCCTTTTCGATACGCATTTATTTAAAATAGATAGTCATGAAAAATTATGTTGAAAATTAAATATTTAAAACTTGATCTCATGAGCGAAATGATTCGAAGAATGATATATTTTATTGATAATCTCCTATTTCTTGAAGGTGATTATTATAGGGTCATTCAATAATTACGTAAGTGCAATTTTGGTAATTTTTGACTGTTGTTGTTAAAATGAGTTACGCTACCACTACTCTATGATAGGAATCGCACATTTCGACTTGTAAAATATTACGTTAGAATGGCTTTTACCACCCTCTCTTTCCGAGATTAGGGCATGCAGAAATTTTGAGACCCCCTACTCCCCTCACTCTCCCACTCGCCCTCCCCTATTCAATCCGCTTCCCCCCACTCCATCCGTTTCCCCTTACTCCATCCGCGTTTTCTCTCTCTGAGGACCCTTAAGTAATTAATGAATGACCCCTAAAACAAACTAAAGTTGCTATGCGTCTTCTCTTTAACAAAGAATTTAGTTAGTAACCTTTAAAGGTTGAAATCACTGTTGTAGGTTAAAGTTTGCTTTATTCACGACATTTTCATACAAAATATTAGTTAAGTAGTAATAAAATAAACCACCGTGAAATAGTCGTGTTAAGGCAAAAAAATTATTCAGCGTGCGTTTCCATTTTACTATTTGTGCAATTTAGATTTAGTCTGTGTGGATGTAGATTTTTGTTTTTCATTCTGTTTGGACTGATGGGTGGGAAAGCCTTTGCCTTATTTGAGTGGGAAATTCAATTCAAAATGGCGGCGTCATTTTAACATTTGACAGTTTACATTTTGAATTGTAATACGTTTTGAATTTACAGCTGAGTTAGGGAGAGTATAGTTTGTTTTCATTCTATATTAGTCATTATATTTTTATACGCTCAAAGCAAAATGAAGGCCAAGCAGAAATGGAAAGATAACATAAGTGATAATATTTTCCATTAACGTACCAAATATTAAGTGCTTCAAATTTAAATGTGCGTGTTAGATGTTTTTCTAAATTTTAGTTTAAAACTAACGACAGTATTTGTACACGGCCTCGCTTTGTTTAGTATCAATTGTTTTGTTTTCCGATTTCTTTTGCATGTAAAATTTTCAAAATTTCTGTTTTGCTGTTGTATTTTATTATTCTACTGTCCTTTTGTTTTTTAGTGTCGTTTTCTTTAAACTCTTGGTGTTATACAAAGCGATTTGCTGGTTTATTACAATATGTCATGTCATCTAAATTAACTTTTTGTCATCAATGTCTAACAAATTGTGTCTTCTAATAAACCTATATAGTCAAATAATTGTATTCCATATCAATACAGTAGAATATCTGGCCTTAGTTAGCTGAATCTCTACAATCGTTATCGCTAATAGACAATTCTACTTTATTTTTCTATCGGCGATATCGATTTTGGAAATACAATTTATCTAAAGTTTAAATAGAATAGAATAGTAGTAAAATTTTAGTTCTGAACACTTTTGTCATCATGTGTACCCGGCTTATCTCTCACCACCAATTATTGTATTTACGTTATCAATACCTAAAAAATATTTAAGTGGTCAATTGCTGATTATTACCATGTTAAGCTAGGTATTTATTTATATATATAGAGAAAAAAATAATATATTATCTAATGTCGTCTAAATAAAAATATTGAGTGATTTATACATTGTTTTTTTTTTTATTATCTATCGTAACAAAACTAAAAACCTTACTAAAACCCTTTAATTTTGGTAAATTTAAATATTTTATTTTTAGAGTATTTCTTATGTTTTTTTTAGAAGTCTTGCAATAAAGCGCATGTAATTTTTGCGAGTATTGCGCTTTTAAATTTTGCGACTTAACTTGCCAGTATAGCGTTGCTTACTAACGTACTCGATTTATAAATAAAAATATTTTATTTGCGTAAATAGATTAGATGTACCTTTTTTATTGAAAGTTTTTATACACATACGATACACACATGAATTATGTAGTTCTGTGCGTCCTAAAATAACTACAAAGTGTCCATGGGAATGCATGAAATCTCATCAGGAGTATAGAAAACTTAATTCCATTAAATTCAATTCAATTTATATCATTATGTTTGATAATTGTTAAAGCAACATCTATTTAAATCATTAGGTATTACTTTAAGCTTATACCGTCACGGAATTCTTCCTAGATGTCAATGTGTGGAACTAATGTCTGGTTGGGTCTCACGTAGGATTTAAAAAATAACTATTTTTTTGCATTTATCAAAAATTATAAAAATTTAACTTTATCGAAACTTTATGTAAAATTTTACATCGACCAGGGGCGGCGCTAAGGTTGAATCCTGCACTGCCCCTGGGTCGTGCTTTAACTGGCTTTTAAAGCTTGACTTACTTCAAGCTTTGAATTTGGGCTACTTAACATTTGGACTAAAATATTTGATTTGTTATTATTATTCCCATAAATTAATTATTAGTTAAAATAACCGTTTTAAAAATACATGTTTTAGTTATTTACTTTATGGGAAACACTCGTAAATAACAAGCTGTAACAAGCTTGTCTTATATATTTTTATAGTGAATGTATGAAGATAATCGGAAATTTCCCTTGGGTCTAGAGTATAGTCATCTAGAAAATGACTAAAAATATTTTTGTTTTTATATATAGTAATATTTTGAAACCTGCATGTCTGAGAACATATCCTCTTTCACACGGTCCATCTATATCTTCCTCAGCCTAAGATCATCTTATACCACATTGCTAATCTACACATATAATAAAATTGTAACTAAGCCGAATCTGTGCATTAAATATTTTTTGGAAAATCTTATTTAAATAGACTTTATTATCGAAACAGAGGCCGAGTCTATAGTTTTTAGAATT